TGGCATTCAAACAAAACGATTTGCACTCTTGCTCAAATATGACTAGGCCCCTCCCCCATCACAACAATAGCTCGCTCACTCAGATATGACAAGGCGGCTAAAATCTCTCTCCCTCGACAAATGCTATCTCTCTCTCTCTCTTAAATATGACTAGGCGGCTAAAAGCAACCTCATCCCACGTCCCCCCCCCCCCCCCGCGACAAAATCTCTCTTGCTCAAATACGACTACGCTGTCAAAAGCCCTCATTCATCCCCCGTAAAAATGAACGATAGAACCAAACCTCCATAGTCAACAAGAACACAAAAAATCATTCCCACTTCTTGATGCAATTATATGAAAAGCTTTTGTCCAAAGCAAAGCTTAATTTTAATATTTTTGTCATTCACTTAGTCCAATCTCCGGTTCGTCCGTCCGTATAGCCGTCCTTTTCTGTATGTCTATAAGATTACATTTATTTCAATATCATCGTTTTTATATCTCTGCTGCTGCTGCTTGGTTTCATTTCATAAAAAAATCTATACGAAAAACATCCTCGGTTAAAGCATATTTCTTCTTTTTTTAAATAAAAAAAAGTCAGAATTATATAGGATCACAAAAATATGGCACTTTAATGTTTATTTCTTCATATCTTTACCTGAAACAATATGAAAGTGACAGAACCAATAAAAGTAACGTTTATAATGAATATATTTTAATACAGAAAAAATGGACGATATGGGGCGCAAAGGCACACTCTCGCCGCAAAACGTACCAAGTACGATATGCACCGCAAAACGTCCACATGTGTACGATATGCGCCGCAAAACGTCCACGCGCGTACGTTTTGCGGTACGGACGTTTTGCGGTGTTACAGCCCTTGCCTAAAAAAATCAATAGGTCAAACTGAATCAACTAGAATATGAAATACATATAATATATAAATGGTTGGCAAAACCAATGAAATAACTATATTTCTGTCTTTAATATGTAAGCGACGTTTCTATTCTTTGAGACAGGCTGCAGATTTAACGTAACAATGACACGTTTCGATATGGAGGCAAACGAAAATTTTGTTGACTTCCAAAAATATATTTTTAACATTATTTTGGGATGTACGTTCTTCAGGTTGATTGGTAAAAGGTATATAGTAATGATTTAATTTTACTAGATTGTCAAATCAAATTAACGCGTGTATTTGTTGTTTTAGATTCAAAATTATATTTACATTAAATTTATACAATTGCATTATCAATTTGTTTTTATTTGTTAGATGTAACTTTAATATAATTACTTTAAATCACGTTTGTTTCATCCCGACAACGCGTGAGAGTATTGATAGTTCCATCAAACAATTAACATCTTTATTATCAAACAATGTTTAATTGAAAACCGAGTGAATGAATTATCTAATATTTGTATTTTGTTTAATAAATGAAATCAGAATGAAAGCGTGTTTGAAATGAAGTCACGTGACAGAAAAGAGTAAATACTGATAGATTTATATCTTCTTTTCCAACAGTTATCTATTTCAATTACAAACCAACATTACATTTTGCATTATGATGATGAATCGATGTTTAAATGATAAAATTTATGACAATATGCTTTTGAATCAAACGTCAAACAATAACAGAAGACTAAGTATCGTTTTCCCATGACATGTTAATATTATATGTAGTCCACTGTGATAAAGATTTTTCTTCATTTTTATTCCACTCAGATCATGCAAAATTTCCACTCAGATCATGCAAATATTCCAGTCTGATCATGCAAACATGACAACACGAGGTAAAAATACAATTACATAATAGATGACGCTTTAGATACAGCCAGTATAGCATGATAGTATTGAACTATGCATAGATCCCTGACCTGTCCAATTCTTATTATCAGATTAGTGGACACAATAAGAATTTCACCATCAAAAGAGCACATGTCAATGTTTGTGGGTAAATCTATTGTAATTAAAATGAAAGGTCAGAGTAAGGATCTATCAATTAATTAAAACTTTCGCGGGAGATTCATTATTACAGCAACTACTTCCAAAAAACTTTCCACAACATTAAATTGATGTAATATTTGGCTCATGTGAATCTTAATATAATTTCATTAATAAATGAAAGTTCTTGTTTGTATTCTAAATGGTTAACTAAAGTGTTCATAAGCAGATCAATATAACGTATGATATGTTTCTTCAAATAGTTAGGTTTCGAAAAAAAACCACAAAAAAACCCTTTCCTGCTGTTAACAAAATACAAACACTCAAAAATGAAACGAAATTCATCACCAATGTATCTATGACACAATATTCGTCTGTTAAGTTGTATATGATATTGAGGATTGATGTCCTCTTATAATGGTGTTGAAGTAGCACGAGCAATCCATGCAATAAAAATTTTCGTGAATTTGATCGTTTTCAGGAATATCTTAGCCATGCACAGAAATGTAGCGAGTGCTTTTGCCAAACAGCGTTTAAAACATCTCAGACTTTAGGTCAAGGCGATAAAATTGTTATATCAACTTTTAACCATTGATTTTATATACCGCAAACATGGACAGACAATCAACTCAGCGTTTGAGGAAAATTGAACGTTTCTCGGGGAATATGGACAGCTACCAAGAACGTTTATAACACAACTGTTAAGAGACAAGATAATAAAATGTTAATCTTCCTTACGGCATATAATGTAGACATGAACGATGTGCTCATTGACAAAACCATTATATATTTCTGTTCTTTTAGAACTCTTAGTGTGTAATCTCTACACTCTGTCACTAACAAAGAAACACTAATTTCTCAAACATTGCTACAGTGTTATTTTAAATGAGTTGGTTAATTAATTAAGGAGAAAACAGCCTGTAATCGTCATCCAAATGAAGTGTGAATTAATCAACGCTAACAGAATACTGGTTCTATATCAGGATAGTTGAAAACATGTAATAAACAATGAGAATATTGATGAGACTGAGCGCCCTCAAGGACCAGCGATTAATCTGAAATATGTTCTAAATCCGGTGCATGTAAACGTGCCTTTTACCCGGCTGTTTTCGTACAATGTCATTTCAGGTCCTTTTGTAATAGTTTAGTAAATTGTTGTTCATTGTAAGCATCACTGTGTATATTCAATTACATATTTATATAATGATTCTTGAAAGTCGAGGGTCAGGAGTGCACCTGGCACGGTCTGGGGTGCGTGTCATCGCAGGAAGACCTTATTGTAGCTTACATACTCTAGGTCGTGCTCTGGTTGAGTTCAGGTTCACGATATAGTAGGCGGAGACCACCAGTTCCTGCCGATCTGAAAACTTTTCTATAAATACATTATAAATTGTATTCAATAAAAGCACTTGAAAATTACCAAACTTTAACTAAAGGGGAGTAAATGCAACAACATCTGCTATGTAAAGCTATATTTTGTTATCTCCCTTCATCTGCCAACGCTCACTTCATCACATTGAAAGTATTCTAGCATTCTCTAATAGTTTTTCATATGTTTTAGCAGTTATATAACAGTTTTGGCTCTGCACGTACTTGATACTTGAAAGTATACAAATCTAACCTTTAATATTAAATTATTTGCCATTATAGTGTTTCGCTAGTATGTAAATTAACTGCTTTTTGAGTCTGATTGTACTTTTATTCATGTTGTTCGATGTCCAATTGGGTTGTACGTTGTATGAAACAGATTTGAGATAAGGGTTTACATTGACTTTTAACATTTTCCTTCTTCCAAATTCCTGCGAACTTTCCTTCTCTATGTGACTTTGTCTTTTTTCTCATACAATTCTACTTACATTAATTCTAAAAGTTTTCAGTTTGGAACTATAACTTAAAGCAGTATGCATTAAGATTCATTCTAATTTTCATGAAAATTTTGAAAATGTAATTAAAAGTAAAATATTGTGAAAATAACAAAGAAAATAATTTTCACATTGCAAACGGCACTTACAATCCACGTAAATTACCGAAAAAGATGTCGAAATATACATTAAAGGGACTCCACTGAGGATTTTTGACATGACGGGACTGGACATAATTTTTTGAGATTATTACTCCATTTGATGTAGATCTATACCAATAACGTTTAAACGCTTTTCACTCAAATCGGACTGAAATAGCACAAACATATGATTTTCAATGTATTTCTTGTATATTTCTTGGTTACATTTTATTTATATTTTTGTTTTAAGTGCTTAAGTAACGCAGAACAAAATAGTGTGATTGATACTGCAAAATCAGTCATTAATTGCACATAACGTATTAATTAATTAAATATTGATTCGTTTTACTTTTCTTAAGCTCTTAATACATTTTTTCTAAAGGATGATTGTCTTGAGATAGTTTGGCTCATCCTTGAATAAATTTAATAGTATTATGTCTTGTAACAGCAAAAAGAAACTGATTTTATTATCGAAATTTATTAAAGAAGCTTTTGAATTGCGTAAAAATACCCTTGAAACTGTAACTGTTTCATGAAAGTCTTTGTTTGTATGAATTTGTATTGTTATTATACTATTCTGTATTGTATGTCTTTGCCATACTTCATGTGTTTTCTTTGTAAATGGCCAAAGGCAATTGATTTGCTGATGATGCTAATAAATTTGAAACTTGAAACTACTAAACCGAAAATTCCTCTGAGGGGGATTTTGTCCTAGGTAGTAATTTTATGAAGGGGATTTTGTCCACTTCAAAATTTCACACATGAAGGGGATTATGTCCACCCATGAAGGGGATTATGTCCGGATATACAAAAATACATGAAGGGGATTTTGTCCGAAGGGGATTATGTCCGTACACCCATCTGGAGGTGTGCAGCGTCAAGTTATTTTTATTCTGTATTGAGACGCTGTGGTTACATTTTTTTCATTTCATTTCATTCATTTACTTGAAATAATTCTTATTTGCATCTCTCAATTGTTGTATTTTATGTATGTTTTAATTAACTTGTATTATAGTCATGTATTTATGTTTTTAGGCTTTTTCTTTGAGTTATTTTCATGAAATATTGACGAACCTACGCCAGGAGTTGTAGTATTTATTCTACCCTGTGACAATAAAATATGATATAATGATATTTGACACGGTATTCAGCTGATCAATAATTATTGAAAAAAATGACTCTGCGGAATATTATTCTGAAGGTTTCGGGTTTGAGCCAAGCTGCATAATTATATCCTCACTCTGCGATATAACTATAGCAAAGATATCTTTACATATTTGTTTTCAATGTCATTTTTTTATTGACTTAGTTACATTAACATAAGCAATGCCCCAGTGAAACTTGTGTATCTATTGCCAGTGACTGGTGAACCCTGGCAACACGATAGTCGCACCCATACCTCATCCCCCGCATTTAACTGTGTTACCACGGTAACAGATCCTTGTTCCGGATATCCACCGTTTCCATGGCCATACGCACGTGCTAGAGCATTTCCGTTCTTAACAAGATCGGCGTGAATCAACGGCTTGGAATCGCCGTCTAGAACAGAGGTGGAAAATATATAAAGACCAGCTGTCGGTGCTACGAAAAGTCCAAGATGTGAGTGGTAACCATTGTTAATGTTTAATAGAACTGTTTCAAATACTACTGTTTGGTTAATACCAGAATGAGGGACAACACTGCCCGCACCAACCACCGCATGAAATGCAACTGCCTCTCCCTGGTCTAACACAAATCTGCTTTCTCTTTTGTCACCAAATTCTTAAAAGGAAATACAAAAATGTACATGTATAAATATATAGCGTCGCCCTTTCTTGATCAACTTGCTTTTCATGTTTAAAAAAAAATAACAAAAGAAATAAAAATTCATAAAATATTTCAAAGAAAGTATATCAACTTTGAAAGATAAATAAAGGAACATATCCGACTTTAAATATTTTTTTCTGTCCATTACATGTACCATGAACCACTTTTCCGGTAATTTCCCTCACTTTTTTGTATTTGCGGATGCAGCAGACGATAAAATGTGCCAAAACTCTACTGTGAATCGAAAAATACGCGCCGAAAACCGACAACAGAGTTTGCTTTAATTAAATTTCATTATCTTACAATCCAGAATGTGCTTAACTGTTTTTGTGTAAACACACAGCGAACTTTCATTTGTTAGTATATATGTTGTTCTAAACTTATACTTCATAAATAAAATGACGACGAATGAATAAAGCAGACAGTTAAACATTTCAACTTTCTCACTTACTGTCAAATCCACAATAACGTAACTTTTAGCCTGAGGATATTATGTTGCGGTTATGTGCAGCTTTGGATTTGGAACGGTAATCCATTCAAAGTTTAAAGGATTTCAATATCAAAATACAAAAATCAAGCTTCTTAATTACAAAAGTTTGCACAGATGTACCTTTTGAACTTAAATGTTCTAGCTTTATGGGGAGCGTTGGCCTATAGTGGTTAAGTTGTCTGCCTCTCAACCCAGAGATCATGGGTTCGAACTCTACTCGGGTCACGGCCATGTTTCTTCATATGACACCAGTACTAGTTGGTTCCAGGAAGCGGACTCGAAAGTGATAAATTCTAAGTACTCCATCGACACATATTACTAAATCAATATACCAACCAGTATGAGGTGAAGCTGACTGTGGAACATCTTTCTTTCTATCAGTGTTTGCACCAACGTCAGATTCATGTTTTAACTGTTGCAGGTGCTCGGCTTCCAAAACGTCAATCTTTTCCTTAATGGTGTCAAGCTCGGTCACCAGTGACTTTATGACGTCATCTTTCTTATTGGATGCGGCTATTTCATGTTTAAGTTCAGCCGATAAATCTGCGTTTATTTTTTCATATACCGCCATCTTCTCTTGTAGTTGGTTGTAATTCTCATTTGAAGTTTTAACTAATAAAAAACAAGCAGACAAGACAAAAGTTAGAAACATTTGGACTAAACATGTTTAAACATACATGTATCTTCGCCTCATCTAAAACGAAAGGGCGATGGAAAGCGGGCATAATTCAACCTTCCGTCTATTTCTGTCCATTGCCGGGTCAAAGCGATTATTTTGATACGGTGCCAAAACGGTGGTCAATATGTACATCAGGAAGTTAATCGGAACACCTCGGGCGACTTCTTTGGTCATTTTAAGGGGTTGTCGGATGACTCAAAGTATGGCAAGGCCATTAGCGGGTTTTCTTTATCATTTGAATACGGTGTGTTTTTCCCGTAGGTTTGAAAGTTCCCGTTATAACTCGGGCACAGAAACCGTGGTTGAAATTGACCAGTGAATCATGCATACACCATCGTTAATTAAGTGAGGAAGCAGGTGTACAGCGTTTTTCTGTTCATAGAGTTTTATTACCTTTCCAAATACATGTAGTAATTTTGAAAATGCGAATATGTGTGAATTTAGGGTAGGGATTGGGGATAGGTGTATTTTATTACGTGTACTAGAGTGAACGCTTACATTTTCATGTTACCAAAATACAGGTATATGCAAAACAGTTATTTGAAATTCTTTACCTTCACGTTAAATAATCAAGGTATGTTTGCACAACTGCTTTCATTTCTTAGAAACAACATCAAAAAGTAGCAAAAATGTAAAGAAAGGAATATAATTATTGTATGTGATGCAAAACACTAAATTACTAGAACTAAAAATTGCTTAATTGCAAGCGAAGCAAAAGATGGTTCAGATATTTGGAAACTGTTACAGGACACCAAAATTTAAAACTTTGAGAAATAAAGGCTCTTCTGGGGAATTATGGGTCTTTTAAGAAGTTACGGTTCTTGTGGCTTTACACTTACCTTCAAACCATAATTTATATGTTATCATTTAAATGGAGCTAGGTGACTGTTTCCATCTCCGCAAATATAAGTATAAATAAATTTAGCAAAAAAATGATTACCTTTATTTGCCAAGTCATTTAGCCTATTTAATATGTCATTGAGGTTTGTGTGTTGCTCTGCATTCCCTTCGCAAACAACACAGAACACTAGCAAGCCAAGTAACGTGATTATTCCACCTTGTTTCATGACAATAATATAATAAATGCGGAATTATTTCAGTCTTTTAACAGTTTCTCACTCTCTCTTATCTTTTTAAGATAACCTCACTTGGCCTAAAATAAGCTGACAATGACATTGACTTTATTGTTATAGAGTTCTTCTGCGATCTCTATCCGTCATGTTTGTAAATCTTATTATATGTCAATTAAAATTTTAAAAAGTGGAACATCACTTGAGTACTCATTTATCTGTAAAGCCGGAAAATAAAACAACCAAGGAAGAACGGAGATCGGGAGTAGCATCAAAACCACAGAAAGATACGCATAGGGACGAGTCGCCTGTAAGTTTGTTATATTGTACAATACAAAATTTAAAACTGATTAAGTTTTATGTTCCTTTTGTAACCAATTAACTATTCACCATAGGACGAAGAAAACTTGATACTGTTGTAAATTACGATTTATATATCGTAGATTTTTATCTATGCTTAATTTTGTTGTGTACATGGGGTTGGGAAAAAAATTGACACTTAAGTGTTACTATAATTAAAGTTATTTTGATGACTTATATTTTATGATATTCAAAGTTATGGTGATGTGATAATTGAATATCAGTTTCTATAAAAAGAAAATGTATGACGTTTCAGCTATTAAACATAGTCATCTGAAGTTGCTGAATTTTGCCATGTGTATTTTTTTTTGTGCTGCAGATCGAAAATAATCAAACTTAAATATCACAGTCCGTCTTGATAATTTTCATATGTCGCATATTTGCCCAGCCACATTACATGCAAAAAGTACTGTTCAATTACTTGCATAATTCAAACACACCTGTATTAATTTTCTTTTTGATAAGATAAGACATGTTTATGCGACGCTTACCAAGAAGAGAATAAATTATGGGTGTAATGTAAAAATATTATGTTATATCATCATTGTTTCAGTGTGTTCAAATTATTATTACAGCCACCGTCTGTGCCGAAGCGGTTACCATCAAAAGCAGTTGTAACAAAAGCGAGGATTTCCAATCCCTATGATAAATCGCAACTGACTCTTCATGTATATATCTTTTATTTACCTATTGACTATATTCCTATTGACTATATACTTTTTGACGAGAGTAGCCTCAACTATTATTCGGGCAGCATCAACTTTGTCTCTTTTAGCATACATTAACATTTGACAAGTACAAAATGTACATATGAAAGCCTTCCTGACATTTGGTGTACTAGTATGAACATTTTATTATATTTCAACAAGGTCTTTACTTATTCAAATCATTAAATCCAGTTACCTCACTTGCCATTGTATTCGTTATATACAGAAATGACTACAGTAGCCTCGACTAATATTTTAGTTGCTGTTCATCTTTCCTGACATGGCAGATGATCATGGCAAATTTTAATAGCTTGTGTGCAAAATTTCTGATCACTATTTACATAATCACACGTGGACTTGTCACAAATTTCATAATTTTAAGAAATGGTAACAAAAAGCTTGTGCTGTTGTATTTTCAGGAAGGTGATATAGTGGTTGTAACAAAGATGTTTGCAAATGGACAATGGCATGGTGAATGTAAGGGCAAGGAGGGATTGTTTCCAAACAGATATGTGCAATTTCTTGACGAAATGTGAACATTATTTTCATATACATGGTATCAAAGGAATGACTGGAATTTGGAATTATCGGAGATATGTGACTTTTTGTGTAAATTTCGAACTTATAATACAAGATACTACATACATGGGTTACGATATATATCTGCGTTTTTTTATTATAAGCCATTTAGCGACAATTAATGTGATATATTTTATGTTAACCATTTAGTTGTAATTTTTCAGCGAACTTTGTACAAAGATCATTATCATTACTGAATGACATCACTGTCTGAACCTATAAGAACAATTTAGTATGTAAAAGTAAAAGCTTTTGAGGGCTGAAAATTATAACATGTATGTAGATACTTGTAAATAAAGTATGTAAAGAATAAGTAAAAATAATAAAATATTGATTTGTATATAATATAGATATTGATCAATAAAGTAAGTAAAAAAAAAGTTTGAAAATTTAATTATGCCTTCAATTCTGCACAATGTTCAAGACATTGAACAGTTCTTAATACATGTATTCAAATATCAAAATATTAACAAATTTTAATTATCTTTGAAAATACATATAAAATACAAGTCTCATTAAAGATGTATTCGATTTTACCTTTTTGTTTCCTTAAAACTAAAGTAGAATAAAATAGTGTTCATTTTTAGCTTAGTGTGCTCTTAAGAATAAGATGCATTGATTTGTCAATGCTTTTAAAATATGGTAATCAGTAATATGAGGGAATAAAGAATTCCAAAAAGAACTAAAAAACGACAATGTTGTTGTTGTTGCAGACTGGGTTTGATTGAGCCTGTTTATGGACGGTAGTGGTATGAGTAAGCTACCGTTCACGTCAACAAGCACTTTTTAAAGGAGATTTCTACAATTAAACATGGAATAGTGTAAATTTGAATTTTCAAATATCCACAGATGTGTTTAAACGGCGGTGACCATGGAACCTTAAATACGACGATTTCGAGCCATCCCATGAAAAATACGGCGTATGGTCCCCAAGTAAAATATTGCGTCTGTCCTAAACGAGAAAACAGTTGGCCAAATTTGAATAAACTAGAATATGAAACACAAAAAAATAGACAAGTAAATGGTTGGCAAAACCAATGAAATAACTATTCTTCTGTCTTTAATATGTAAGCGACGTTTGATAATTAACATTCTATTCTTTAAGGCAGGCTGCAGGTTTAACGTAACAATGACACGTTTCGATATGGAGGCAAACGAAGATTTTGTTCCAAAAATATATTTTTTAACATCATTTGGGATGCACTTTCTTCACGTTGATTTGTAAATGGTATATAGTAATGAATTAACTTTCAGTAGATTGTCAAATCATATAAACGCGTGTATTTGTTGTTTTTGATCCGAAATTATATTTACAATCAATTTAAACAATTGCATTATCAATTTGTTTTTATTTAGATGTAATTCTTACAAAATTACTTTAAAACACTTTTGTTTCACAAGGACAACGGGTTAGTCTCCTGAAATTTCCATCAAACAGTTAACGTCTTTATTATCAAACAGTGTTTAATTGAAAACTGAGTGAATGAATTATCTAATATTTGTATTTTGTTTAATGTGAGAGAATCATATAATGAAAAAGAGTGTTTGAAATGAAGTCACGTGATAGAAAAGAGTAAAAACTGATAGATTTATATCTTCTATTCCAACAGTTATCTATTTTAATTACTACACGTCATTACTCCGCATTATGTGATGAATCGGTGAATTAATGATAAAATCTATGACAACAAACGTCAAACAATAACAGAAGGTGAAGTAGCCGTTTCCCATGACATGTTAATATTAAGTGCAGTACACCACGAGGATAAAGATTTTTCTTTCTTTTTATTCCACTCAGATCATGCAAATGTTCCACTCAAATCATGCAAACATTTCGCTCAGATCATGCAAATATTCCACTCAGATCATGCAAACATGACAACACGAGAAATAATACATTTACATAATAGATGAGACTACAGCATCAATCAGTATAGCATAATGTATACTAACTATTAACATAAACTATCGCGGGAGAGTCAATATTACTGCAACCACTTCAGTTATTGGAGTACAATTTGTACAATAGTTGGCTCATTTGAATCTTGATATAATTTCTTTAATAAATAAATAAAAGTTTGTTTTTTTTGTATTCCTTTTACCGGCGACTTATCAAACCTCTTCAATATGTGTGCACAACTGCCTTCATTTCTAAGAAGCAACCTCTAAAAGAAGCAAAAATGTAAAGAAAGATGTAAATTGTATGTCATGCAAAATACTAAATCACTGAAACTAATAATTGCTAAAATGCAAGCGAAACTTTAAAGGACAACAAGAAACAAGAGGGCCATGATGGCCCTGAAATCGCTCACCTGTATATAGGCCCCCGGGGCGGGGCTAATTTTAACCCAGGGGCTTTTATTTGAACAAACTTGGTAGATCCCCATTTGAAGATGTTTCATGATAAATATCTAAGCTCTAGCTCTAAGAAAATCTTTAAGTTTTTACTAAACACATATAGTGAAAAACAATGACCCACACCCTCTGTGCGGGCCAATTTGTCCCCAGGGCTTTTATTTGAACAAACTTGGTAAACACTCACTAGAAGATAATTCATGCTTAATATCTAAACTCTATCTCTTGGTCTTTTTAACAGAACATTTTTTTCAGTTTTTTACTTTATACATAAAAGGAAAATCAATGATCCCGGGGGCGGGCCAATTTTTTAACCCCAGGGCCCTTAATTTAACAAAAATGGTAGACACCCATTAGAAGATGTTTCATGCTAAATATCTTAGCTCTAGCTTTTAAGATTTTTTAAAAGAAGATTTTTTATGTTTTAACTGTATATACATAAAAGGAAAAACAATGACCCCCTGGGGCGGGGCCAATTTGACCCCAGGGCTTTTATTTGAACAAACTTTGTTAGAACAACCCACTAGAAGAGGTTTCATGCTTAATAGCTAAGCTCTACCTCTTTGGTTTTTTAAAAGAAGATTTTTTTAAAGTTTTTACTATATGCATATAGGTAAATCAAATGACCCCTGGGGCGGGGCCAAATTTGACCCCAGGGCTTTTATTTGAACAAACTTGGTAGACACCCATTAGAGATGTTTCATGCTAAATATCTTTAGCTCTAGCTCTTTGGTTCTTTAAAAGAAGATTTTTTAAGGTTTTACTTTATGCATATAGGGAAAATCAATGACCCCCGGGGCGGGGCCAATTTTGACCCCAGGGCTTTATTTGAACAAACTTGGTCGACACTGACTAGAAGATGTTTCATGCCAAATATTTAAGCTCTACCTCTTTGGGTTTTTTTAAAAGAAGATTTTTTAAGGTTTTACTATATGCATATAGGGTAAATCAATGACCCCCTGGGGCGGGGCCAAATTCGACCCCAGGGCTTTTATTTGAACAAACTTGGTAGACATTTACATTAGAGGATGTTTTCATGCTAAATATCTTAGCTCTAGCTCTTTGGGACTTTTAAAAGAAGATTTTTTTAAGGTTTTTACTATATGCATATAGGAAAAAATCAATGACCCCCTGGGGCGGGGCCAATTTTGACCCCAGGGCTTTTTATTTGAACAAACTTGGTAGACACTGACTAGAAGATGTTTCATGCCAAATATCTAAGCTCTACCTCTTTGGGTTTTTTTAAAAGAAGATTTTTTTAAGGTTTTACTATATGCATAGGGGTAAATCAATGACCCCCTGGGGCGGGGCCAATTTTGACTCCAGGGCTTTTATTTGAACAAACTTGGTAGACACCCATTAGAGGATGTTTCATGCTAAATATCTTAGCTCTAGCTCTTTGGGTTTTTTAAAGAAGATTTTTTTAAGGTTTTACTATATGCATATTGGGAAAATCAATGACCCCCTGGGTCGGGCCAATTTTGACCCCAGGGCTTTTATTTGAACAAACTTGGTAGACACTGACTAGAAGATGTTTTCATGCCAAATATCTAAGCTCTACCTCTTTGGGTTTTTTAAAAGAAGATTTTTAAGGTTTTACTATATGCCCATAGGTTAAAATCAATGACCCCCTGGGGCGGGGCCAATTTTTGACCCCAGGGCTTTTTATTTGAACAAACTTGGTAGACACCCATTAGAGGATGTTTCATGCTAAATATCTTAGCTCTAGCTCTTTGGGTTCTTTTAGAAGAAGATTTTTTAAGGTTTTACTATATGCATATAGGGTAAATCAATGACCCCCTGGGGCGGGGCCAATTTTAACCCCAGGGCTTTTATTGAACAAACTTGGTAGACACCCATTAGAGGATGTTTTCATGCTAAATATCTTACTCTAGCTCTTTGGGTTTTTTTAAAAGAAGTTTTTTTAAGTTTTACTATATGCATATAGGGAAAATCAATGACCCCCTGGGCGGGGCCAATTTTTGACCCCAGGGCTTTTATTTGAACAAACTTGGTAGACACTGACTAGATGATTTTCATGCCCAAATATCTAAGCTCTAACTCTTTTGGGTTTTTTAAAAGAAGATATTTCAAGTTTTTTCTTTCGGTTGCCATGGCAACCAGAGTTCTGCATGGAATTAAATTCTTTGAACAATTTTTTAAAGGTGACCACCAAAGGAACATTCCTGTGAATTCGGATGAAATTGGCCTAGTGGTTTATGAGGAGATGTCATTTAAAGTAAAAGTTGACGGCGGACGTACGGACGGACACGCCGGACGAAAAGCGATCACAAAAGCTCACCCTGTCACTGTGTGACAGGTGAGCTAAAAACAAAAATTAAGGATTTCAATAATAAAAATAAAAGCTTTTCTGGGGTATAGTGGGCCTTTTAAGAAGAGGCGGTTCTTGTGACTCTACACTTACCTTCAAACTATATAATGATTTACATTAATTTGGAGCTAGTTGACTGTTTCCATTTCCGGTGGCAAATATAAATGAAATTATTTAAACGTACAAATTGATTACCTTTATGTTCCAAGTCATTTAGCCGGTTTAATATATCCTTTAAGTCTCCGTGTGGCTCTACATTCCCTTCGCAAACAACACAGAACACTACCAAGCCAAGTAACGTGAAAGTTCCACCTAGTTTCATGATAATAATATAATAAATGTGGAATTATTTCAGTTTTTTAACAGTTTCTCACTATCTCTTATCTATTTAAGATAAGCTCACTTGGCCTAAAATAAGCTGACAATGACATTGACTTTATTTTTATAGTGTTCTCCTGCGATACCTATCCATCATGTTTGTAAATCTTATTATATGTCAATAAAAATTTAGAAAAGTGGAGCATCACTTGAGTTCTCATTTATCTGTTGAAAAAAACACTGGACTACGGAAACGTGAAAGGGCCTCCAATGAATGAGATCATG